TGGAAGGCAGCCGGTTGGTGTGTCTCCCACACGTTGTTTCCCTCCCTCACTTTTTTCCTCCCTTCCTCTCTTTAAAAATAAATAAATAAAATCTTTTTTTAAACATATTTCTTACCAAAAAATTCAGCAGATTTGAATATACTAGCATTTTAAGAATTTTCAGCCCTGGCTGGTGTGGCTCAGTAGATTGACCATCAGCCTGTGAACCACTTGGCCACCAGTTTGATTCCTGGTTGGGGGCGTGCAGAGGTCGACCGCACCTTAATATTTCTCTCCCTTTTCCTCCTTTCCTTCTCCTCTCTCTAAAAACAAATAAATAAATAAGATCTTTGTCTTTTTTTTTTTAAGAGTTTTCAATCTGTTAAAAGTTTAAGGATTGAATTTTTTTAACGAAGGGTATTATGAAAATAATGGAGGCATTTGGCTTTCATATGGGAATGCTTCCTTTAATCCTCTCTGAGTCATTTTCTGTTTTTGCTGACATTTTTACATTTTTTAGGATTACTTTGCTGGATTCACAAATTTTACCCATTTCCTAAAAGCTGTGTATGGTGACATGTGTAGCTGTTTAGTATTGGGCAGAATGGTTTGAATGTTTGTGAAGTTTCAGGTAGTGGTGTTTTTTTCATATTGTAAGCAGTATTGTACACTCATAGTTATTTATAATTTTTATTGATTATTTTAGAGAGAAACATTGCTTATACATTCATTGGGTTTTTTAAATTGATTTGAGAGGAACATCAGTTTATTCATTCATTGGTCACTTCTTGTATTCTTTTCATTTTTATTCTCTAATAGTTAATTTTATTTATTGGTTATTTTAGAGAAACATTACTTATGCATTCATTGGTTTGGGGGGTTTTTTAATTGGTTTGAGAGAAACATCAATTTATTGTACTTACTTATGCATACATTTGGTTGTGGGGATCAAACCCACAACCTCAGCAAATCAGGACAATGCTCTAACCCACTGAATCCGGCCAGGGACAGATGGCCAATATTTGTTTTGCCTTTAAGTCAGCATTTGAAGGAACATGTGATGAGTTGTTCTTGCCCCACCTCACTGCTGCTGTAATCCAGGCACCTGGGGCCAAGAGCCAGGACTGCCCACAGCACTGTGTGGACTGCCAGGCTGAGTAGGGAGGAAAATTTGACCACCCCAGAACCTCAGCATCCTTAAAGGCCTCAATATACACTTGATAGATAGCCTAACAGTGCATAGTTGCCCTTTGAGCCTTGGTAGAGTTTAAATAGTAGAAAATTTTCCTTAATATTTAGCTAGCTCTGTTTTAATCTATTAATATCCATCTGAACTGTTTTAGGAAGTTTAAGATAAACTCCAGTTCATCACTGAAACACATCAGCTTTTGGCTTTGTGAATCACATTTTTGTATTAGGAGTAGAGATTGTCAATCATGTGCTAGCTTGAAGGTGGATGCATCTCTGTTGTTTTATAACTGGTGCCATGGCAGTGATCCAGGGCCAGCTTAGGCTAGATACTTAGGCCTTTTGAGTCTCTGTTGAACACGTGCCCTCATGCCTCAGTTATCCCTTCAGTACCTTAGAAATTTCATTGAACATAGGAGCTGAGAAGATCAAGGAGCCCTCTACCTTTGGGGATACACAGAGGGCTGTGCTTGGTCCCGAGAGCGGTCCCTGGCTGAAGTTGGGATGTATGCTTCCCTGTGGTTCCTGGGTTTGTGTCTCAGTTTTCTTTGGTCTTTTTTCATTGAAGCCCTGCAGTCTTCTTGGGCCTTCCTGAGCTGCCTCTCTGGGATACTTTTTCAAACTCCTAAGACAAACTTGACATCTCATGAACCTCATCTCATTTTGTCCGCCCGCCGTTGAGGTGTTCTTCCTCCTGAACTCCACATCTCAGGAGGTCATAGCTTATCCAAAGTCTGGTGCTGATCATCTTCCCTTCCCCAGTTCCCCATCTGATCCGTCACCTAGTTTTGGTGATTTGACATCCCATCCCTTGAGATGGATTTTACCCTATCTCAATTCTTGTGAACCTCTTTAATGGGTCTCCCTGCTCTTACCTGTCCCCTTCCCATTGTTCTTGAAAAGGAAGCTCAAGTGTTAGTGCCACAGTCCAGCTTGGGGCCAGGGCACAAATCTTCCCCTCACTTTAGCAGATACCCAACACGTTTTTGGGGTGTTGACTTGGATGGCACTTTCTCTGAGGGGCAATCCCAGTGCATCAAGTTGAGGCAACTTGATCTTTTTTTTTCAACAGGACAAATTGATGGCCAGGAAATCACTGCCACCGCTGTGCTGGCCCCCTGGCCTAGGCCACCCCCCAGGCGGTTCAGCCCTCCCAGGAGAATGCTGCCACCACCTCCCATGTGGCGCCGGTCTCCCCCACGGATGAGGAGAAGGTGAGTCAGTTTGGGGTCTCAGAGGGGACTTGCTGGTTTGGGCCTGTTTGGGTTTATTTACAACACAATATGACATTGATGGCTTTGTGATCTTAATTCAGCCCCACATGCTCTCATGTGAGTGCACGCCATAATGGCAGTGTTGACATAGGAAGGCCTTCAGAGCTCATGTTCATTACAGCTGGGGAAAGGAAGAGAGGGGCAACTGCTGGAGTGAGGGACCAGCAGAAGGTGCGGCCCTGCTGGTACCAGAACTCCAGAACATCTGTTTCTTTTCCAAGGGTTCTGTGTCACTGCCATCCAAAGAGAGCTATCCTGACAGAGTGCTGAACCAGGAAACTACAGAATTGTTCCAGGAAGAAGCCAGCCTTAACCCTGCAATCCATGATGTAGGGCTGCTTCCATAGCATGTGCTTCAGTGTTTGATGTGTTTTTCTTCTTCCCACAGGTCACGCTCCCCACGGCGCAGGTCCCCGGTGCGACGGCGATCCCGCTCCCCTGGCCGCCGCCGCCACCGGAGCCGCTCCAGCTCCAATTCCTCCCGATAAGCAAGCCACCGAAGCTCTGCCCCATAACTTATATCCCATCCAACTCAGTTCTGTCACTTTTCTAGCCGAAGGAGAGTCAGTAGGAAACAAATCCTCACTCAGGGGCAGGCTTCAAAGGCAGCATTGAGATGTTTTCTTCTTGAAGGCCAAGTTCAGCTGCAGAACTGTTGTTGGATTGGGGTTGTGCCTATGAAGATACCCCTCCAGTTTCCTGACTAGAAAGTTCCCATGTTTCCAGGCCCAAAGAGTCAGTTCAGTGGCTAAGCCGGCAGAGATAGGCAGGGTTCCAGCTGGCAGTATCACCCCAGCCTGGGAGCACAACGTTCCATTCCGCTAATGACCTAGGGTCAGTTTAGTAGCCCGAGGATCCTTCAGGAAAGGGCATGCTTTTGTGCAGCTGCCATTCCTATTAACCTGACCCTGTTCGAGTCCTGACCTCTAGGGTCAAACACCCCATTCGTTGCTATAAATGGTTCTGTTCTCATACACTCGTGTACTCATATACTCACCCCCTTCTCCTTTCTCTGAAATTGGTGAGCAAGTTGAGAGCTGACTCTGCAGGGTCATCGTACTCCACCTCCACCCTCTTCATGGTGGTCTTTGGAGTTACCTTGGGAACATGTACATTGCTTTTTTGGCTTTTATTGTACAGTCAGTACTATAAATTTTCTGTTTTGAGGTTTTTTGTAACTTTGTAGCATTTTGTTGTGTAGAGTAAAAGGATTGTGTTGAATAAACCTAGAAGTAGAATGCAGATTGAGTGTTGGGTTCACTGCCTCCTTCCTGTCCATTGGCCCTCAAGATGGCTATTGTGTGGGAACTAACATGGCTGCCTAAGAGCTGAGTTTTTGTTTCATTTTCAAAGTCACACCTCCAAAATTAACCAAGAGACCACTGGTCAGTATACCCAAGTGTTGGGTTCCTCCTGCATATAGACAAATAGAAGAAAGATGTTTTATCACCTTTATTTTTCCTCAAAAATTGGTTTATGTCATGAGGAAGGCTTGGAAACACTTAGGGTGTAAAAGTTTAAATCGTCTAACATTGTGCTTGGTGGTTACGGTGCCCAGTGTTCAAAACAAAGACCAGGTGCATGCACCCCGGCTGGTGTGGCTCAGTGGATTGAGTGCTGGCCTGCAAACCAAAGGGTTGCTGGTTCAATTCCCAGGCAGGGCACATGCCTGGGTTGTGGGCCAGGTCCCAGTAGGGGACATGCAAGAGTTAACCACACATTGATCTTTCTCTCTTCCCCTCTCTCTAAAAATAAAATCTTTAAAACAAAAAGACTTTGTCTTTTCAGGCAGTACAAAGGCTTACTACCTATGCCTCCACCTCATTCCCCCTCCCTGGGTGTGTGACTACTTTTATTTCTTGGGTGTCAGTGTTTCTCCCTTCCTTTGAGGAGGTAATAACTGTGGTCATGTCCTAGTGACTGGCTTTTGCCATCTTCACCAAGTGTGCTGACGTATGTTATGTTGAGAGTCACCTGGCTATGCTGAGCCCTGTACCTGTTCAACTACCAGCCTCCCTTTTCCCACCACAGGCAGGAGGAAGAGCTCACTTTCAGCACCTAGCCCCCATCTGTGTTTCCTCTATAGCATCCTTTTCATCGAGGATGGCAGAATTTGAGAAATAGCCCAGGTGTGAGCTTGCCACGGTTTCCAAAGTCACATACTACCTCTTAAATTCAAATTTGTCCAGGACTGCTCCATGACCTGTGTGATTTACGGTGTATGCAGTTGCCCCATTTCAACACTCCTATCTTCACCTGGTCGGAAAAGCATGGGAAGCTTGCCAACCTTCTATAGGCACAACTATGGGTGAAGGGATGAAGTGCGAGTCTGCCCTGGGCAGGCCACCTACTGCCACGCTCTACTACCCTTCACCTCGCAACCCCAGTGTCCTCGGTGAAGCCCATCGCACTTGGGAAGCTCCGGCCTTTAGGAGGAGTGGCTTGAGGATTTGCTCCCGGGCTGATCTCGCAGGAGGCGGGGCAGACCTTGGCAAGCAAAGCAGAGCTAATATTGAGGCAGGGGGCGTGACCAGTCTCGGGTCCCCTCCCCGCCCCCTCCGAGGAGGCCACACCCTGGCTCCGTGACCCGAACTGGTGTGCTAAAGATGGCGCTGGTGGCTGGGGTGTGTCACCGGGCTCGAGCTCTGTTCCGCCCTTGTGCGTGACCTCAGGCAGGCGGACTGGGTGGGGGCACCCTGGGGACAGGCAGGGGGTAGCGAAGTAACGGACCCCACTCTACCGTTTCTCAGGGGCCTGGCTCCCGGGTGCGGCCTTCGGGCGGACGGAGTCGGCGGCCAGAGGTGGCGTAGGCGCACGAGGCTTCGGAAGCCAGCGGGTGCTGGTGGAACCTGATCCGGCCACGGGTAAGCATACTTTCTGCCCTCGAGCTCTGGAGCACCGGCCTCCCACACGCCGGGCCTCGCCCCCTGCGTGAATCCGCGATGGATCCAGAGGTTCAGCGAAGGTGCTGGCAACTGAAGGAGGCAGTTACCAAACCTCCTGAGCTCACCTGTGCCCACTGGCTTGGGCTAAGAAACGCGAAATAATGCCTCGCGGTACGGGCAACAGAGCGTGCTCTATAATGCAATAAGTTGTATTATTTATTCTTCCCTAGACCTGGATCTAGACTCATGTGAAAGCTATTGCATTTCCAAAGGCCACGAGAAAAAGCCCAGTTTTAAAGTCAGTTTCTGTTGCTCTGACCGGTGTGGCTCAGGTGATTGGGCGTGGAACTAGCAAAGCGAAAGATCTTAGGTACTATTCCCAATCAGGTCACAAGCCGAGGTTGCGGGTTAGATCCCCGGCTGGGGGGCGTGGGAGAGTCAACTGATTGATGTTTCTCACCCTCCCTTCCTCCTTCCCTTACCATATCTCTAAAAAATGAATAAATAAAATCCTAAAAGTCAGTTTCTGTTGAGTTCAGAACTTAATGGTCATCAGTCTAGGTGTTAGTTTAAATGGGTTTTCTCACCAGTTCATTAAGAAAATAAAAATGTTTGTTTTAGCCCTGCCTGGCATGGCTCAGTGGATTGAGCGCAGGCCTGTGCGAACCTGTGTGGTTCATTCCTAATCAGGGCACATGCCTGGGTTGCAGGCCAGGCCCCCAGTAGAGGGCGCGCGAGAAGCAACCACACATTGATATTTTTTTCTCTCCTTCCCCTCTCTCTAAAAATAACCTGTTAAAAAAAAAAAAAAACCAGCCCTGGCTGGTGTAGCTCAGTGGATTGAGCACGGGTCTGCGAAGCAGACAATGGAGGTTCAATTTCCAGTCAGGGCACATGCCTGGGTTGCAGGTTGGTTCCCTGCAGGCCAGTTCCCAGCAGGGGATGCATGAAAGGCAACCATACATTGATGTTTCTCTCCCTCTCTCCTTCCCTTCCCCTCTAAAAATAAATAAATAAAATATTTAAAAAAAAGATCAGCCAATTTTTTAAAAATGTTCTAAAACTTTGGGGGCTGTGAAGCTATTAAGCTGACAATTGAAAATAATTTGGAGTATTTTTGGAATAAAATATTTTAATTTTCCTTAGTACTTCAGCGTGGCACAGAACCAAGCAGATATTTTACTAACTAAAACCGGGAGCCCCAAGTGGACTCACTCCTAGGACCACCGCCGTCGCCACCCATCAGAACACCTCTTAAAACTTTCCGAAGAGGATAGAAAATGTAGGGAGGGCACTTTTGAAAGAGAAGTCTGTGTTTTCTTTACCAGAAAGAACTCCAGAGCTGGGTGCTGAGAAAGCGTGGGGCCAGAAATGAGCAAAGTTTTAGATTTTAGGACTTGCTGTCATCATGACCTCCCGGCCCTAAGGCCTCTCAGCCTTTCAGGATGGTGCCCTGATGCGCACTGGGGAGAGCCATCCTCCTCTGCCCAAACACACGCAGGTCCCACGCTGTTGCCCATGCCTGGCACAGTGTCGGGGCACCTCGTTCCTTGGTTCAGTTTTCTTGTTTAGCCCCATTCTGGTTCGAGGCTGCCTGAGCCAGGTTGGCATCAAGCTAGGCCCAACTCCAAGTCCAACATAAACCTGAGTTTCTAAAACAGTCATTTCTGTGGCATTTAAATATATATGTGCAAAAACACATTTAGAAGCATTGGAATGGATGGTGGTAATGACTGCACAGCATTGCGAATATATATATACTTAACACTGCCAGATCTTACACTTTAAAAATGGTTTAGGCCCTGGCCAAGTATTTCAAGAGCGTCATCCCAAAATACCAAGGTTGCTAGTTCCATCCCCAGTCAGAGCACATCCCAAAGTCAACCAACAGCCCTGGCTGGTGTGGCTCAGTAAATTGAGTGCCAGCCTGCAAACCAAAGGGTTGCTGGTTTGATTCCCACTCAGGGCACATGCCTGGGTTGCAGGCCAGGTCCCAGTAGGGGGTGTGTGAGAGGCAACCACACATTGATGTTTCTCTCCCTCTCTTTCTCCTTCCTTCCCCTCTCTCTAAAAATAAATAAAATAAAAAATCATCCAACAAATGCATAAATAAATAGAACAACAAATCGATGTTTCTCTTCTCCCTTCCTCTCTAAAATCAATAAATTTTTTAAAAATGTTTTAATGGTAAATTTTATATGTTATACAAGTAAGCTTTAAAAAAGTATCGTTGAGACCGTTTTTTTACCAAAGTGCTTTCCCGCCCTGCCATGGAAGAACTCACTAGCTTCGTTGGCTTGGTAGAAAGTCAAGTTTGGGGTCACAAAGCCAGATCTGGTTCTATCCTCACTATCAGACCCATTTAGCATCCAAGAATCTTGGTGCTCGATTGAAATAATGGAGTAAAAGTACTTTAAAGGGGAGAAGGGAGTAGCTTGGGATTCAAGATGAAACTAGGGTCTGTGCTCCTGAGTGAGAAAGGCCTGTGTGAGAGCTTGGAAAAGATGGGCTCCGGGACATGAGGGGATAACTGCCCAGGTGAGGAGAGGCCCACACCATTTGGGGCAGAATGGAGATTCCTGCAGCCAGGTGAAGAAGAAAGCCACAGGCTTTTGGTGGAGTGAGAAACCCTGCAGCTTTGGTAGAAGAGGCCCACATGGCTTTGGGGTGCCCCCTTTGGCCGCGGGGCCTGGAAAGCAGGAGAGACTTTGACTGGAACTGGGTACAAAGAACTCTTGCCAGTGGACCATGAGAGGGTACCACAGTACTTTGGATTAACTCGAGATCCTGCCTGCACGGTGACACAGCTGACGGTGCCAGCGGCCTGCAACACAGACGTGGTCTTTTCCTGATTTACGGTACCCGGAGTTGGGACAGTGGGAGAAGGGAGCTGTGTGGGTGTAGGAGTACAACCTAAAGGACTTTGATATTTTAGTGGGGGCATTAGGCCTGAATAGCATTAAATAAACATTTTGTTTCCTTTTCACACAAAAAAATAAAATAAAAGTACTTTAAAAATGTTTTTTATGTAAGTGCTGTTACTGAAGCTGATTTTAGATTCTGTTCAATTAGCATGTATTTTAGTCCTCATTGTGTGCCAGGGGTGTTGTTACTTAGCTCTGATAACTGATTACTTAACTGCTTACCTCAGATACTGATTATCTCCAGTTCCACGATTATGCAGTTCCTTTTTGGTGACTCATGGTAGCCTTCAGCCTCTTAACCTTTCCCCCAGTGTCCTCAATTCTACCCCTGTAGGCTTCACTGAAATCCAGGGTCACCTTCATAAACTTCCTTCCAAACTTCTGGGAGTTTGTTTTTTTTTTAAATTCTATTCTATTTTATTTTTTAAATATTTTATTTATTTTTAGAGAGAGGAGAAGGGAGGGAGAATAGGAAGGGAGAGAAACATCAATATGTGAGAGAAACATGGATCAGTTGCTTCTCATACTCAATCCACTGAGCCAACCAGCCAGGGCCCTGTGTTTGTTTCTATGTATTAGGTAGAGCTGCTTGTCTCCCAGACTTGGTAGAGTGGCCTAATGTAGTAGGTGTCCTGTAGGGTCCAGTGGCACAGCCACGCCAGGTGTTCAAAGTGTGCCTACCATGTGGGCTGTGTATTCCCTCCTCTTGTAGTTGAGCCTTGATTGTTGTTGGCACATCCAAGGTCAGCCACTGACTGTGTTCTCCTGTCCAGGGTTGTACAGCATAAGCTGCAAAGAGATCTGTAGATGGCTGCTACTTGTACAGCTCTTGGAGGTGCCCAGGTGATACTAAACTGTGAACCAAGGCCAGCTGCTGCTAGTGTTGGGCCTGGGGCTACTTAGCAGGAGGTACAGGACTTGGTCAAGACAGATGCTACTTGTTTGAGAGAATTTAAGAAAATCTGAAGCATGGACCAAGAAGAGTTATTTATATGGAAAAGCCACTGGAAACAGCTTGGGTGGGCTCAATTGTTGGGTGGGACAGGACCTCAGAGAATCAAGTGGGTGGGCAAACAGTACAAGTCAGGTTAGTGAAGTCGCAGACATTGACCCTGCATGTAAGCTTTTTGGCCCCATTGAGAGAGCTCAGAAAAGGAAAAATGGCCTCTGCCAGCACATTTGTCTGGGAGAATGCCACCCCCTAGCACTTGCCCCCATGCTGGAGCTCAGGGAGTGAGTCCAAGTAAGTCTGTGGTTGGTTGCTGTATAGTTTAGTTTGAGCCCTTTAAGAGGAACTGCCTGAGACTCTAGCAATACCTGTTTTCCACAGCCTCAATCCCAACTGGTTTTTACAGCCAGTTGTTGTGGGGACTTATCTTCCTGGCACTGGAACTCTGGGCTGGGAGCCTAGTTTGGGGCTGGGATTCCCTGCTCCTGAGATATCCTTTCTTATTTTTATCTGCACACATGGGCGGAGGATCAGCCCCTCCTACCAGTCTCAGTTTGGTTTCTTCTTTAATTCTGTAGTTGGTTTATACTCTAAGTCTGCAATTTTAAGACTCCCATTTAGCTCGATTTCTGATGGTTCTGAATGATAGTTGCTCTGTAGTCGAGTTGTAATTTTGATGTGGTTGTGCAAGGAGGCAAGCCATGTTTACTTACGCTTTCATCTTAACCCAAAGTCTCTACAAAAACTTCTGGAAGTTTTGATTGCTTCTTATGTGTACGTGTACATACCTGTAGCCAGGTAATAATTACTTCTTTCTCCTAAATTAAAGGCCTCAAAATAGCCCATTACCTTCAGGACTTAGTTTTCCTAAAGAATGTTTTTGTTTTGTTTTGTTTTGTTTTTTTAGTATATTGTAATTGATTATGTTATTACAGTTGTCCCAGTTTTTCTCCCTTTGCTCCCCTCCACCTGGTACCTCCTTTCCTTTCAGAAATTCCCCCGTAGGTCATGTCCATGGGTCATACACATAAATCCTTTGGCTTCTCCATTTCCTATACTGTTATTAACCTCCCCCTGTCTATTTTGTACCTACCAATTATGCTTTTTAATTCCTGCACTGCTTCCCCCATTCTCCCCCTTCCCTCTCCCAGCTGATAACCAATGGTTCTGTTCCCGTTGTTTGCTTAGTTTGTTGGTGGTGGTGGTTGTTGTCGTTTTATTTAGTTGTGGGTAGTTTTGAATTTATTGCCTTTTTAATGTTCATAGTTTTGATTATTTTCTTTTTCTTAAATAAGTTCCATTAACATTTTTCTATAATAAGGGCTTAGTGATGATGAACTCCTTTTCTTTATGTTATCTGGGAAACATTTTATCTGTCCTTCCATTCTAAGTGATAGCTTTGCTGGATAGAGTGATCTAGGTTGTAGGAGCTTGCTTTTCATCACTTTGAATACTTCTTGCCAGTCCCTTTTTGCCTGTAAAGTTTCTTTTGAGAAATCAGCTGACAGTCTTATGGGCACTCCTTTGTAGATGTAACTCTCTTGCTTTTCTCTTGCTGCTTTTAAGATTCTCTCTTTATCTTGAACCTTTGGCATTTTAATTATGATGTGTCTTGGTGGGGTCCTCCTTGGGTCCATCTTGTTGGGGACTCTCTGCGTTCTGGACTTGTCTGTCTGTTTCCTTCAAATTAGGGAAGTTTCCTTTCATTATTTTTTCAAATAGATTTCCAATTCCTTGCTCTTTCTCTTCTGACACACCTATGATTTGGATGTTGGCATATTTGGAGACGTCCCAGAGTCGTCTTATACTATCCTCAGGGTTTTTTTGTTTGTTTTTGAATTCTTGTTTTTTCTTTTTGTTTTGGTTGAATGTTTATTTCTTCCTTATGTTCCAAATCATTCATTTGAATCCTGGCTTCTTTCCCCTTCACTCTTGGTTCCCTGTAGATTTTTCTTTATTTTGCTTCGTGTAACTAAACTTCATTTCTTCCTTTACATTGTTGCTGTACTCAGTGAGTTCTTTGAGCACCCTAATCAGCAGTGTTTTGAACACAGCATCTGACAGGTTGCTTATCTGCCTTTCATTTAGTTCTTCTGGAGTTTTGTTCTTTCATTTGGGCCATATTTCTTTGCTTCCTTGATTTGGCAGCGTCCCTGTGTTTGTTTCTGTGTATTAGGCAGAGCTGCTTTGACTCCTTGTAAAAGGTACCTATAAATTGTGTGCGGTGGAGCCTGAGGTAATCGCCAAGGTAGGGCAACCACTTCACCACTTTGTGGTTCTGTGTAGGGGGAGAACTCAGAGAGGGGACTGTGCCTGGCTTCTGGGGGTTTGCCCAGCACTCGCCATTTCCAGTCACTGCACCACTCTCAGTATGTAACTGATGCTTTTCCGTCTGTTGTCTTGGTGTTAAATCCCAGAGTGTGTGGGTTTGCATATGTTTTGAGACTATGTGGGTCCTTTAAGTGGAGTTTCCTGAATATCCAGCAGTTTCTTCCGCTACCCCAGACCCCACTGGTTTTTACAGCCAGAAGTTCTGGTGATTTATCTTTCAGGCACTGGAACCCGGGATGTGCGTTCTGGCCTCGGACCGGGATTGCTGGCTCCTGTGGAATCCCTCCTGATTTTTATCCACCACACGTGAATGTGGGACCACCTGTGCCCGTTCTGCCACTGCTGCTGCCGCCTCTCCACGTCTCTTCCTCTCCTACCATGTGGATGACTGTGGCTTCTTTAAATCCTTGGTTGTCAGACGTCCATACAGTTCGGTTTTCTGACAGTGCTGGGTGTTATTTGTTTTGAGATTTAGTTGTAATTCTTTTTGTGGTTGCAAAAGGAGGCGAAGCGTGTGTACCTACGCCTTTATCTTGGCCATAATTCTTTCCTAGAAAATGGTTTGTGTTGACAGTCCAGAGAGTTCCAACGTCCTGACCAGGGAAATGCACCCTAAATTCATGGTGGCATATCCGGAGTCCTTGGTTCTGCCCTTGACCAAACAGTGAGAACAGAGGGCAGCTGGCCCAGCCCAGCTGCTTCACTGTCCACAAGGGCAGGCTCTGTCCCTCCCGCGTTCCCTGCTGCTGGCATAACAAATGGATGGGAACATCCAACACCCTTCTCCCAGTATTTTTCACCTCGATCTTTCTTTTTTTCATTTTCACCTGAGGACATTTTCATTGCTTTTTATAGAGAGAGGAAGGGAGAGAGAGAAACATTGATCTTTTGCCTCCCAAACATGCCCCCACCAGGGACCAAATCCACAACTGGGAGTCAAACCCAAAACCTTTCAGCTGTTGGGATGACATTCCAACAACTGAGCCACACTGGCCACGACCCCCTCAATCCTTAAACAAGCATGAACTAGAGTACCTCACTGGGTCCCGCCTTGCAGGAATCTCAGAGTCGGCCTGCTTACTCCTCAAGAAACTAAGGCCATTTCTTACTCCCATGCGGATGGTGGGCTTGTGTCTGAGAGAAAAAGATCAACAAAAATATGTACATGAATGTTCAGAGCATTATTCACAATAGCCAAGAGGTGCAACCCACTCAAGTGTTCGGCAGCACATGAACGCGCAGGCAAAATGCAGTGTGCATCAGGGTATTATTCTACCTTAAAGAGCAGCGAGGCAGCCCTGGCCCGCGTGGCTTGGTAGGCCATCACCCCACAAAGCCAGAGGTCACTGGTTTGATTCCTGGTCAGGGCACATGCCTGGGTTGTGAGTTTGGTCTCTGGTTGGAATGTGTGCAAGAGGAAGCCAGTCAATGTTTCTCTCACACACCAGTGTTTCTCTCCCCCCTCTCCCTCCCTCTCTTTCTAAAAATAAAATAAAATAAAATAAAACAAGTAACGAGGCATTGATATATGTTACAACATGGGCGAACTTTTTTTTAATTCCCGCCAGAGGATATATTCATTGATTCCAGAAAGAGAGGAAGGGAAAGAGAAACATCGATTGGTTGCCTCCCGTATACACCCTGACCAGAGATCAAACCCATATCCTAGGTATGTGCCTTGACTGGGAATTGAACCACAACCTTTTGATGTACAGGACAGTGCTCCAACCAACTGAGCCACGCGGCCAGTGCCTAAGTTGCTCACTTTTAAATGGTTCATTTATGTTATGCGAATCTCACCTCAGTTGAAAAAACCATGTAACTTCCCACGGCCAAATTGAGGACACAGAGTACCTGGGGACACTTTTCCAATTCTGGGCATGAGCTTTCTCTTCATTTTCCCACTAGGGATCGCAGTGGTGAAGTTGAAGAACCCCCCAGTGAACAGCCTCAGCCTAGAGTTGCTGACAGAGTTTGTCATCAGCCTGGAGAAGCTGGAGAATGACAAGACCTACCGAGGCCTCATCTTAACTTCAGTGAGTGCTCATTAGCTCCCCAAGGCCTGAGTTCCCTGATCAAAGTATGAACCTGTGACCAGATCAGAGCCTACACTTGGAGATCATGTACTTGTCACATGGGGTGGGATAACTATGCAGATGTCCACGAGAGACTTTTAGGGATTGTGGTCCTGGGCAGGTGACATTTTTGCAGGGGCAGCCTTGATTCATGAAGGACAGACTTAGTACAAACCAGGCAGTAGGTTCCTAGGGTGCCTTCCCTGGGTGGTCCTCAGAGCCTGGGCTGGTTTTAAAACCCAGACCCTCAGGACTGGGGGCTTCATGTGTTCCCACCCCCTCCAGTGGGCGTCAGGCCCACCTGATCTGCTGGGCACCACAGGTTTCAAGAGAGGGCACAGATAAGACCAAGCTGGGGAGATGAAGTGTGGACCGAACATAATAGGCCTTTTGTTGAATTAGGAAGAGCGTTAGGGTCACCTTTCAATTTAGGAGCCACAGACAGCATGAGTGTCCCCCGAAGCTAAATGCCACCACATTACAGAGACCGATGGGGATGTCATCCTGCCGTCAGTAAAGGTGCAGGAAGCAGACCACCAGGCTCTTTCAGCCAAGGTTTAGAGCATCCACTGTGGGCATGCATCTGCTTTCTCGTCCCTCAGGTTGTCTCAGGGGTGGCCTGGCATTGTCACAGCTCTGAATAGCCTGGCTGCTTCTGACCTGAGGCAACGCAGCACTGTGCCAGAGACAGAGCAGCAGGGGACTCGCAGGCACGGCCCGATGTATGTACCTGGTATGTCCTGTAGGAGAGAGATTATTCCATGTGTCTCCCAGGGTGGGACTGATACTCGTGGGTGTAGATCGTTGAGGGCCTGGGAACAGAACGCCAGGGAACTTTCTGGCAATCATAGCAACACTTCTGGAGATGCTAAAATTGCCTTGTGGCCTAGGTGCTTGTGGGCACTGGGTGCTGCACAGCGAAGGTCCCCGCTGCCTCCAGGCCTCAAGGTCACACTGCCCTGGAGGAAGGGAGCCAGGATGTGCCTCTCCAAAGCCCATGTTCTCCCCACTGTAGTGTGGTCTCCCCCCAAATGTATCAGTGTCATGTTGTGTACTGAGTGCCTACTGTGTGTGTAGCACAGGGCCTGCCCACTGCCAAGGGACAGGTGAGTGTGGAAGGACGCCATTAGCATCGCGTAACCACCATCACAAAGCACACGGATGGGGTGGTGTAAAAAGACAGGAACATACTCTTGTAGTTCTGGAGGCCACAAGGTCAAACCAAGGTCTCGGCAGGGCTGGCCCCTTCTGCCAGCCCCAGGGGAGAATCCTCCTGGCCTCCTCCAGCTCCAGGGCGCCCGCGGTGCTCCACGCTTGTCTCCAGCACTCCAGCCTCCTTTATCGTCACAAACATCGGCCCTGGGTCTCTGGGTCCAAATTTCCCTCTCCTTAGAATGACACCAGTCCTGGGATTTAGGGATCCCCCACCCCCGTATGACTTTGTCTTGATCACATCTGCAAAGACCCTATTCCGAATAGGTCACATTCACAGATCCTGGGAGCAAGGACTTTACCTTGTCTTTTTCAGGGACACAATTTGGCCCACTAAGAACATGTTGCTAGATCAGAGAAACAGGCCACTCCACACCCCTTCTGGTTTGTCTCAGAGATTGTCCCAGTTAGGACCGAGCCATTTATTCTTTCACATCCCGAATATAATGCTTTGCCTTTGACTTCCTGAAGCAGAACTACAGGCAAGTGCTGATCAAATGTATTGGATTTGGGGGGCGGGGTGGGGCAGGGGCAGTGGATTATGATAGGAAAAGGCAGAGAAGCTAAATGTCCTGCCCTGTCCCTAACGCAAGAGCAACTCTGTCCCTGCTGCCGTCCCTCCGCCACAGTTGGGCTCCCTGTATCTGGCCCATGAGGAATGGCGGACGAGGTGTAACAGTTGCACGTCTTTCTCTGTTGAGTCTTTCTAAGTTACAGGAGTGGAGCACATTCCATGGAGACAAGAGGTCGGCCTCCAAGCGCTGCGCACACAAGCGTGTGCGGGGCTCCCTGCACGCAGCTGCTTTCATAGCTTATATAAAGATGTAGGGGACATGGAGTGTGACTGTCCCACACTTTATTTATCTGCCTGCTTCTCACAGATACTGGGTGGTTGTCATTCTCACAAGCAGTGTGGTAGCCGTTGTCAGTTCTAGCTAGTGAAAGGATGATCACACCAGCCTCAGGTGCCCCAGCCCCCAGCCGCGGGGGCTCCTTTGTTCAGAGGTGCTGTGACCACATGGAAACCCCAGGAGTGAGCGTTCTCAAGGGAAAGCTGCTGAGCTGTCCCTCCCTGTCTGTGTTCTTATCCAACAGTCCTTTGAACACCCAGAACTTGGTACCTGCTGCTAGAAAGCACTGCCATGCCGGCAGCCCTTTAGCCCAGCCTGTGGCTCCTCTTCTGCCTGCTCCCCCACCCCAACCTCGGCAGCCGTCTCAGGGCCTGGGGCATCCGCCTGGGGCACACGTGCCTGCAGGATCATTCCCAGGCTTCTGTCTCACACTTGCAGCTCAGAGGAGAGGTTTTACATGTGTGTGTGTGTCTCTCTCTCTTTTTTTTTTTTTTTTTAGATTTTATTTCTTTTTAGAGAGAGGTAAAGGGAGGGAGAAATACAGGGACAGAAACATTAATGTGAGAGAAGAACATCAGTCGCTTGCTTCTTTTATGCACCCTGCCTGGGGATTTGAACCAGTGACCTTTTGCTTTGCGGGCTGACGCCCAACTGAGCCGCACCAGTCAGGGTGAGGTTTGTCTTGACTGGTCATTGCCCCTTTCCTGACCAGACAGAAGCACCCCCATGTCTGTACCTGAGTTTCCTGCCTGAGATACCACATAGGTGTGTACGGAGCCCACAGGAGCGCCTGGTCCTGCCTGCCTATTTTGCCTATTTCATTCTGAACTTGAAAAAGCAAGAGCACCCCAGGACATAGAAGGAACTGAGTCTGAGGGAGGTTGATGCCAAGTCCTGGAGCCCCAGCTCTGTGCTCTTGGGGGCAGCATCCTGCCACCCTGAGTTACAACCTCAGCCTTGCTGCCCCTTGAGCATCTCTGCCTTAAGGGCATGTTGCCCTGGAAGGTGGAATCTGATTGGGCCCTGGCTCCCTCACTCACCCAGGACTGTCCCGGGATCTTCTCAGCTGGCCTGGACCTGACGGAAATGTGCGGGAAGAACCCAGCACACTATGCTGAGTACTGGAAGGCCGTGCAGGAGTTGTGGTTGCGGCTCTACCTGTCGAACCTGTTGCTGATTGCTGCCATCAATGTGAGTGTCTCCACTCCTGAGTGGCCGTGCTATTTAGAAGCTGTGGGGGAGGGGAGTGCAGAGGTGGCCCTGCCCTCAGGAAGCCCTCAGAGGGAAAGGGTGCCTAGGGGACACCCTCAGACATGCACAGGTGAGCATGCCATTACAGATCACTGTGACGTGGTGACAAGTCATTTCGCTCACAGGCGGGGACAGGGCCCAGGATCCAAGGGCCCACAGTTGACCTGGCTCAGTGAGAGGGCTGTACGGGGAGCAAGAATGGGGAATTGGATCCACATTTTGAAAACATCACTTTGGCCTGACCTGGGGAAGGCAGGGACAGGTCGCCAAGGTGAGGTGCTGGAGCTAAGGCTCCAGAACTGGTGTGCCCTGAAGAGATGCAGTGACAACCTGAGCAAGGTGCGAGGAGAGCCTGAACCTGTTGGAAGGGAGGGGCGGTCACTCAGAGCTCACCCCCACCATCACGCCACTCCTCGGAACCCTGGCTTTCTGGAATACTATCGGGACCAGCAGTAGCAGCACCCAGAGGCTAGTGGTCCTACTATCCCTGCAGGGAGCCAGCCCTGCCGGAGGCTGCCTGATCGCCCTCACCAGTGACTACCGGGTCCTGGCTGACAACCCCAGATACACCATTGGGCTGAATGAGACCCTGCTGGGCATCGTTGCCCCTTTCTGGTAAGGCCAGGGACTGCACCCATATTCCACTTGGCCCAGGGATCAGCCAACGCACCTGGGAGCCCCCAGTCCCAGGTGAGTGGATGTTTGCATTCCAGGTTCAAAGATACCCTTGTGAACACCATCGGGCACCGTGCCTCAGAGCGCGCTCTGCAGCTGGGAATCCTCTTCCCGCCGGAAGAGGCCCTTCAGGTGGGCATGGTGGACAAGGTGGTGCCTGAGGACCAGGTGCAGAGCACAGCACTGTCAGTGATGGCCCAGTGGTTGTCCATTCCAGGTGAGGAGCACAGGGAGGGACAGCCGCTCTGGGTACTGGTGGGCCTCCTTCCCTCCCCTGGGACCAGAAAGTTCTCATGTAAAAATGCACTGTACAAGCAGAGGACGTGCACACTGAGTGTCCTGGGGAGGATACTGTAACAAATCACCACAAGGGGAGTTGGGCTTGAAACAACAGAAATGCACCCTCACAGCACGGAGGCCAGAAGTCCAAGTTCACGTTGTAGGTAGGGCCGGGCTCACTGCAGAGCCTCTGGAGGAGGCTCATTTCTGCCTCTCCCACCTGCTGGTGGCCCCGGCATCCTTCAGCTTGCGGTCTCATCCCTCCAATCTCTGATTTCATTTCACATGGTCTGCTTTATCTCAAATCTCCTTTCTCTTAACAACGACACTTGTCATTAGATTTGGGGCCCACCCTGAATCCAAGATGACCTCATCTTAATTATTTATCTGCTGAGACCCTCTTCCAAATAGGGCTGCATGCACTGTTTCTAGAGCGGGGGTTAAGACTTTCACATATGTTTTTGGGATACACTGTTCAACCCACTACACAGACCATTGGAAACAGCCTACACGTCTGTGTGTAGGAATAGGGGTGACCATACAGAGACATGGAGCAGCGGAGCATCTACGAAAAGCCAGGTGGATTTCCAGCTTTGTAGGTTACACGGTCTCTGCCACAACCGTGGCAAGGAAGGCAGCCACAGAGAGTATGTGAACTAATGAGCGCATTGGTGTTATGATAAAGCATCACACATCACAATTCTATCCTTTTTTCAATTTTTTATTCAACTAAACTATAAAAATGTAAGAAGCATTCTTAGCTCATGGACCACGGATGGAATGATCAAATATTGTGTAGTCATTTATTATAAGAGAATATTGAGTGACTTAAAAATATTCTCAGTAATACAGTTGAGTGAAAATAACAGGTTAAAAAGGGAGTCCATACAGTATTAATTTGAAAGAAATCAGTGGGGGCCCTGGCTGGTGTGGTTCAGTGGTTTGAGCACAGGCCTGCGAACCAAGGGGGTCACTCACTGGCTTGATTCCCGGTCAGGGCACCTGCCTGGGTTATGGGCCAGGTCAGGCCCCCAGCAGGGGGCGCATGAGAGGTAACCACATGTTAATGTTTCTCCCTCTCCCCTTCCCCTCTGAAAATAAACTTTAAAAAGAAATCAGTGGGCAGTGAGAACTAGGTGATTTTCATTTTCTTCTCTTTGCTTATTTGTATCTTTTAAGTGTTCTACTAGCATTTCTGTTTGGGAAGGTTGAGGATGACGCCACTGTCTCAGAATGGGTTTTCACACGTGGGTCCCTTTTTCTTTAGACCATGCTCGACAGCTGACCAAGAACATGATGCGAAAGCCCACAGCAGACCGCTTGGTGAAACAGCGTGACTCAGACATCCAGTCCTTTGTCAGCTTTATCTCCAGAGACTCCATCCAGAAGTCCCTGCATGCGTACTTAGGAAAGCTGAAACAAAAGAAAGGCTAACGGCCCTGGCTGGTGTAGCTCAGTGGATTGAGCTCGGGCTACAAACCAAAAGGTCACAGGTTTGATTCCCAGTCAGAGCACATGCCTTGGTTGTGGGCCAGGTCCCCAGTGGGGGCATGCGAGAGACAGCCACACATGATGTGTTTCTCTTCCTCTTTCTCCCCCTCCTCTCTCTAAAAATGAATAAATAAATAGTCTTTGAAAAAATAAAGGCCAACAGCTAGGCTGCTCACACAGGGTTTAGCCATCTGTACCCTTCTGGAGGGGGGCCTTCTGGTCCCAAAAGGTTTTACTTTAAACAAGCTATTTCCTAATTTAAAAATCCTTTCAGCTCTTTGTTTTGCTGGTCTTACCAGGAGGCCCTGTTTATTGTAGCCAGGGTCCCAAGGACCCCGCCACATGTGAGTGCCTTTACTGCCTGGCAAACGGGTGGAATGGGGTTGGCAGGCAGCTTCTGGGTTTGGGAATTATGAACTGGCAGGTGGACCCAATCTGAACCTTGGGAGGGTTACCACTGAGTGTCTCCTTTCCCAAAGAACTGTGGGAAACTTTACTCCCACAGGAATAAAGTCCTTGGGTCACCTGATGCCTGGCCCCATGCTGCCTAGTTGTTGACCGTCGTGGGCCCTGCGGGTTCACACAAGACCCCTCTGCACCGTCCCCATTAGGGAGAAACCCTTTGGCCCCCACATCTGTTCATTCAGATGGACGGAGTTGTGACAGTTTAGAGAAATCTGGGGGACTTGAGGGAAGAGGGAGGCATTACTTGAGAAGGACTCTGTGTTTTGGGTGGCCTAGATCATCTTTTACGAAGATTTGTCAGGAAAAACTTGTTCGCACGTTTGATACAAGGCTTCTCCCACACAATTCAAGACAGTTACCAAATCCTGCCAAGATGTTTCGAAAACTGGAAACCTCATCAGGCCTCTGTCAGTTACGCTGTGTACCCTGCCTCTGCTTGTTCCTGATCCTCGGATCACAGGTTTCCCGGGACTCAGGCCACTGTCCTACGGGACAAATCCTTCCCAACCCAGGGCTCCTGAGGAGCCTACGCAGGAAGGCACCAGTGAAAGGCCATACCACCAGCAGGTGTGCGGGTCCTGCGGGCAGGACCCTAACCTGACACCGTGCAGTGATGGACAGGACACCTGACACAGACCGGTACCTGAGGATGACTGCGGAAGGGAGGTGGTTCTTTGAAGACGACACTATTCCTGTGTGAGTGCTGATCCCCACGCATTCAGTACAAGTTCTTGAAAGTATTTACAACAGCCTGGAGGTGGTAGTTCCCAGCGGGATGTGAAAAATACAGACTGGGCTATAGGACCAAAGTTTGTGCCACAGGAAGATAGTTGTAAGAAAGGACGTGGAGGCCTCTAAACCAGCCTGTTTGTGGTCCTAGCCGAGTACTCATTTATCGAGCAGAGCCGTGCCCAGAGCTTCGGGTACTCCTCACGCCCTGAGGTAGGTGGTGGTAGGTTGTTTACAGATGGGCGCCCGGGCTCGGAGTGGTCCTGCAACGTGTCAGTGGCCACCTGTCCGGGCCCAGTGGATCCTGCCCTGCAGGCTTGCTGGGGGCAGGCCATCCACCCCAAATGGGCCTTGTGGGCCTGTTCCTCGTGGCCACTCTGCAGGCAGCATGCCCTGGCCAGTTCTCAGAACTGTCAGTGGCATTTGAGAGTCACCTCCACAGGAAAATGGTCACTGATGGCAAGGGCCTAGAAGGAAAGAGGGCCCGGTCTCAGAGGCCCTGCTGGGCAGCCTGTCCTTGAGGCATCACCTCAGAGAACAGCCCACCGGGTTTCTACACACCACCATCTGGAGAAGCAGCCAGTGAGGCCTGAGAAGTCCACCACTGCTGCTGCCTACAGGAGGTGTAGGAGCACAGATTTAGGAGAGGCAAAGAACATACTCTCCTGCCATCCCAGACTTGCACCATTCAGCTAAAACAGACTCTGAGGGGCCTCTTCTAAAACGGGGGCAGGGAGGGGAGTGCCAGGTGCACTGAAGCTGAGCCCGGCCCTGGGCAGGAAGCAGTAGGCTCCTCCCCTCTGCCAGCGCAGAGCGGTCTGGGGACCCCTACGCCTGTGGGGCTGAGTTCAGCACTCACCTGAGTCTGGTCCAGGCCGAACACCTCCTGGAAATTGTGCACAGCGGCTGAGTGCGGCTTCAGGCTCTTGCGCAGGCGGGCGCCGCAGACGACAATGCGGTCATACGCACAGTCTGAGTTGCCCACCGTGGTGTCAGCACTGTCTGGAATGAGCCACTTGAAGACCTCACTGCTGCGCAGACGAATGGCCGCCCAGTCCTGTTCCCGCACATAGCTGCAGTCAGCGTTAAAGTCACCCAGGAACAGCATGTCCTGCGAAGGAGCCGGGTCTGAGCCAGGTCTGAGCCAGCCCAGCGAGCCCACACCTCTCTGGCGACCCCCAGGGCGCGTCTGCCGGGCCCGGGACTGGGAGCACAGGGCTTACATCGGTGCCCCACTTGTCGATCACGTCCAAGTACACATCGTAGAGAGCATCGATCTCTGCTACTGCGTGGTGTGGCGCAGCGTGCAGTGGAACCAGCACCAATTCCTTGGCAGCTGCTGGAGGGGTTAGGAGTCAGAGGCAGGGTGGGGCCTAAAGGAGGGGCGGAGTCTGCGAGGGAGGTGGGGGAGTGGAGGGGAATCTCACCAGAGCCAGGGACTGAGAATTTGACCACGAAAGGTTCACGACTGAAGGTGTCCTCCGGGTCCGGGTACTGGTATGTGTCTACGATCGACACTGCATCCTTTCTAGAGGCAGAGGGCAGGTGGGTGTGCCGAGCCGGCCACCTCCTACCCAGCACGCCGCATCCCCGCCCCTCACCTGTAAACAAACAGGTACATTTCCTTGTACTGGTCCCGTCCCAGGGGCTCGCTGCTCACGAAGCTGTACTCGTGACTGGACACACTGCGGAGATACGGGCCAAGCCCTGGGTCAAGGCACCGCGCAGAGGCCTGGGATGCCAGCCGGAGCTCCAGACGCTGAGCCCTGCCCTCCGCACCTGTTAATCTGCTCCATGAGCGCAGAGACTGCGCTCAGGTCCGGGTCTCGCACCTCCTGCACAAGCATGATGTCATAGCCAGCCAGGATCTGGGGGGGGAGAGGGGGTCACGCACTGCTAGTTCCCAGGCGAAGCCCAGTGGCAGCCCTGGCCTCGGCCCCCCGCCCTTCCCCCCCACCCCGCCTCACTTGCGCGATGATGCTGCCACAAGCAGAATCTGACACTTTGCTGTCTCCGAAACACTGGATGTTAAAGGCTCCAATGCGCAGCGCCACTGCCGCGGTGGCCCCCAGAGCCCAGAGCACAGATAGTAGGGCCCAGGGCCGGTCCATTTCACGGAGCAAGTAGGCTGGGAAGGGCAAACAAGAGCATGGACCTGGAGTCAGACACATGCAGCCACCTCTTTCCCCTACGCCAGGGCCTGGCAGGGTATGCTGCCCAGTGATGGATGGCTGGTGCCAAGACGTAACCTGCCCCCTGCGTTCTCCAGTTCTCCAGTTCTCCTCAGGGTTGTGTGCTGGGCTCACAGACCTCCTCCTGCACTGTCAGGAAACTGAAGTCCAAATAGACAGACCCCATTAATCCAGCCCCAGACTTGGCTCAGCTCCCAGACTCACCTGAGATGTGGATGGTGTCGTGTCAGAAGCTCAGGATCTGGGCCCAGGTAGGGTTCTGAGGTCCAGGATGGGAGTGTGTCTGTGGTTCTAGGCAGACCTTAAGGACTTTTGACAACAGCTCTGGTGCCTGTGCACAGGCAGGTATTTGAGGCCCTGGTCCAGGGAGGGGCCAGACTGCATTGGGTCCCGCCCCCTCCAGAGTTGGTGCCAGAACTCCTGGCTCCCATTTCCACAGCACCCCAGAGCAAGGGAACAGGTGATGCACCCTGAAGACTGCTCCAGCCCCCAAGTCTGTCAGAATTGAGACTCTGAGGCCCTTGACACCACTCCGAGAGCTGTGTGAGGCACGGGGAAGACACAGAGCCATGCCTGTGGTCCAGGCCTTGTTCTTGTCCCCACTCCACAGAAACTAGGTCACCCAGAACCTCCCTCCTGGAACAGCATCCCCTTAGGGAAACTAAGACAGCACAATCAAGAAAGACCAGCCCCCCTGGAAAGTATTCCAAGTCATGAAAGGCAAGGACCTACATCCAAGATTGCTCTATCCAGCAAAGCTTTCATTTAGAATAAAAGGGCAGATAAAGTACTTCTCAGATAAGGTCAAGTTAAAGGAGTTCATCATCACCAAGCCCTTATAATATGAAATGTTAAAGTGACTTTTCTAAGGAAAAAGAAGATAAAAAACACATAGTGTAAAATGACAGCAAACGCACAATTATTAACAACCACACCTAAAACAAAAACAAAGCAAACAACTAGAACAGGAACAGAACTACAGAAATGGACATCACATGGAGGGCTAGCAACAGGGGAGTGGGAGGAGGAGAAGGGGAGAGAAGGTACAGAGAATAAGTAGCATAGACGGCAGGTAGAAAATAAGGGGAGGGTAAGAAGTGTGGGAAATGTGGAAGCTAAAGAGCTTAAGACACGTGGACGTGAACTAAAGGGGGGGAATGTGGGTGGGAGGGGGTATGCAGGGTAGAGGAGAGCGAAGGGGAAAATGGGACTATAATAGCATAATCAATAAAACATATTAAAAAAAATAAAAGAATAGCCTCCTTCTTAACCCATCTGCTGCTGCTTGCACACGTCGTCAGAGGCTCCTAGTCTCCTAGCCTCAGTCCCCTGCCCAGGGCACCACATCAGGCCTCAGGAAACTGGGGCACAGATCCAGTGGGCAGGGCAGCAGCAGGGGCTGCCTGTCCACATGCCAGTGACACCCACGTGCTGCCAAGGTGTCACCAGCCCCGTCAGGAGCACTGGGCAGGGTGGCCAGGCATGAGAGTGGCCTGCACAGGCAGGTGCTGCCGGGGGGGGGGGGGGAGCAGCCAGGGCAGTGGCACCAGTGCCGAAGGATCGCTACTGCATCACAGTGGGTTTTCATGTTTTATTGTAAAGTGACAAAAAATATATATTTACACTCCCACATATCCGAATTCTGTGCCACATGTTTTCCATACTAGGCCAGGCAGAAGTGGGTAGGGCACTCAGGGTCCTTGCCCCTGACCCACCCTAGTCCAGCAGGACCCCACAGGCACCCGTTAAACGATGACGGTCTGCACCTCGAGCTGGCCCTCTGGTGAGGCGATGACCAGCTCGCCCGCGTGCTCCAAGATCTCAATGTCCTCTGACGAAACCATGGTCACAGTAGCCTGCTCCGCACCATCTGTCCCCGCACGGGCAGTAAGCACAGTGCCCTCGCTGATGGCTGAAGCCAGTGTCATGGCCACCTGCTCAGTCAGGCTCTCAGGGGTGGCGATGGTAATGGTGTCAGCAGCAGCCACATCTGGACCCAGCCCCGCCTCCTGGTCCATGGTCACATTCTGCACGATGATTTGGTGCCCTGCGCTGGCCTGGTGCACGATCTGCTGCACCACCTTCATGATGTGGCTGTCCACCTGTGGGTGGCTCACAGCTCAGCCCACGAATCTCGGCGAGGGCACCAGGCCACCCCTCCCCCAGTCCCTCACCTCTGTCTGGGCGCCCTCAATGATCTCTGTGGCTTCACTGGTCTCCGTATCATCCGAGGTGGCCTGTACAGAGGGTCAGAGGTCAATCTTGCCTGCCCCAGAGCCCCAGTCCAGCCCAGCCCAACACCCACCTCAATGATGTACTCCTGGGTGTCAGCCACCACGGATGAGAACTCAACCAACACAGTGTGCGGGTCCTCGCCAAGGACAGTGGCAGCTGAGGTGGGGCTCTCCTCAGACACCAGCAGCTCCTCCACCTCCAGCAGGCAGCCACCTGAGATTGGAGCTTAGTCACAGCTGGGCAGGACTGGCCAGGGCTGCCCTCCTGCTGTCCTTCACCCCCTCCCGCCAGCCCCCAACCTTTTGTGCGCAGGTGCCGGTTCAGCGTGCCATGCTCAGCGAAGCCACGGCCACACTTGTAGCACTTGAAGGGCTTCTCGCCTGTGTGGTGCCTGACGTGCCGCACCAACGAGCCCTTCTCCCTGAAGCCTCGGCTGCAAAATGGGCACACATGCGGCTTCTCCTCCAGGTGTGTCCGAAAGTGCACCTGCTGGGCATTCTGAGGAGACCCACTGTTAGGACTGACCTGGCCTCGGCCATGGCTCAGGCTGAGGCTTTCCCCACTGACCTTTAGGGTCAAGGAAGGGGTGGGAGTCAGGCCAGTGGGGAGAGGCCAGGCCAACACTGAGCAGGCTGGGCGGAAATGAGACAATGGAGAGCTGGGGAAGGAACAAGGGATGGATCTGGCCCAGGGAGTGGAGAGCTCATGGGTGGGAGCAAAAGTCAAAGGTCAGGGCTGGAAGGTCCACCTTGGTCTTGTAGCGCTTGCCACACTCAGGACAAGGATAGGGTCGCTCGTCTGAATGAACACGCCGGTGGCCCCGAACATGAGCAATGGTCTTGTAGAGTTTCCCGCAGTCCCCGCAGCGGAAGCGACGCTCGTGTACATGCACCTCCTGGTGCTTCTTGAGCAGGTAGGCCTTGAGGAAGACCTTGCCACACTGCACACATGTGAAGAGCTTCGGCCCTGGGGCCACACTCAATGTCAGCCCTGGTCCAACCCCTGAAGGCCCCACCCTGTCTGCTACCTGCCCACCCACTGCCCAAGGGGCCATCCGGGTCACCCACAGGCAATCTACCGCCCAGTGCCCCACCCTCCTGCCACCCACCTTCATGGTCCCTTTTGTGGGCCTCTAGGGTGGCCGCTGTTGGGAAGGTTTCACTGCACTGAGGGCACAGATGGGTCCTGGGTACAGCTGAGGCCTCGTTGGCCACCTGCTGGGGGACCACAGCATGCCTTCAGTACTCACTGCAGGCTGGACCCCAGCAGTACCAAGGGCAGACCCATAGCACCCTCACCCTGATGGGCTCCATGACGTGCCCAGGGGTAAACAGATCAGGGGACCAAGTCCCTGCAGAAAGTGACAGCAGGGAGAACAGCAGGGAGGCTAGCAGCCAGTGCGATAAAACAGCTTCATCTAAGGTACGACCCCCAGGAACAAGCTCAGTGGCAGCGCAGGTACCTACTGTCTCCACCTGCTCCACCTCTAGCAGCGGCAGTTCTGGGGGACCATCTCCCAAGGGTTGGGGACTGGACATGGTGGCAGAGACTGGCTCCAGGGACCCCTCCTCCCCAGTGACCCGCTCAAGAACGATGCCAGAGTTCTGCATGGCCTGGTGCAGCAGGTTCTCCTGACTGTTGTCGCTGGAACAGGGAAGCTCCTTGGGAGCTGGGGGCTGCAGGGGAGGCAGAGGGAGGGAAGTTGGCCAGGAGGCTTGGCATGTGGCACCCACCCAAACCCACCACACAGGGCAGACCCAAGGGGCTAAGGGACCACTGTGCACAACCAATGTATTCTCAGGAATGCCCCTGAGAACTCTACAGCCCACCCACTTGACTACCCCATCTTGCCCCTTCCTGACCTTTGGCAACCATTGGTCTCCCATCACCCATGCCCCCATAGCCAGGAAGGCAGGCCCAGGTCAGTCCTACTCCCACTGGAGCCGGTGCTCAGAGCAAAGCCTGGCACCGAGAAGACAGTGGCCATTATCTCAGAGGACCCCCACCTCTGGGGCCAGGGCTTTCACGCCCAGAGGAAGCTCTTGCATCTGGACATGGACTTCATGGATAACAGTGCCCTTGGCATCTGTCACCAAATGAATCACAGGGGACGTCTCCATGGTTTCACCTATCACCGACGATGATGTAATGGTCTCCACGGTGGAGGCGCCAGACCCTTTAAGGCAGAACCACAAAAGTCCTTGAAGAAACCCCCCTAACAAGGGCAGCTCCAGGGCAGGGACACGGAGCCCTCACCACGCTGACCTGCAGGCGCGTCCTCTTTGCCAACAACCACATCCTTGCTCATACTGAATCGGATTTTTTCTGTGCATGGGGTCAGAGACTTGAGGTGCCGGGTCAGTGCACCTGACTCCCGGAAGCTCTTTCCGCACTTGGCACATTTATAGGGACGCTCATCTGTGAAATGGAATGAGCTCTGGGTGGGGAAAGCAGGCCTGGAGCCACAGCTCCACCCCCCACCTGGATGCAGAGGTGCCCGGTGCATAAGGCTAGTTCACCTGTGTGCCGCCGGTGATGCCGAATGAGTGAGCCCTTGGTCCGGAAGGAGGCCCCGCATAGCTTGCACTCATGGTCTTTACGGCTGCTGTGGGTGACCATGTGGGCCTTGAGGATGCTACCCTGGGGGGAAGGGACAGCAAGGCTCAAGCACCTCCCTAAGCAGGAGGCCTGGCCCCCGCTAGCTGGCACTGCCCTAGACCCGGGGCTCACCGTCTTGAAGGTCTTGTGACACAGTGCACAGACGTAGCGGCCATCCTCATTCACCAGCAGCTTGACCTGGGCCTGCTCACCCTGCCCGGCCAGTTTGGGCCCCTGATGGTCAGGGCTGCCTGAGGCCTCTGCCATCTCGCTGTCACCTGGATCTGCCTCTGCAGCTACAATGACCTCTTTGATGTGACCACTGCCTGAAGAGAAGTGGGTTGGCCTGAGCCTTGGGATGCCACGGACCATACCACCTCCTGGGATCCCAGCCCAGAAGCACTGCTGGGATACGTCGAAGCTGCCTGCAGAAGCTCCAGGCCCCCGCAATGTGTCCAGCGGGGAGACCATGGTAGGCAGATACCCCTCCCTTAAGCCAAGAGCACAGCGCTAGGTGTGCACAGGGGTCCTGCCACCTCTAAGGGCAATGGAGTGGCCAGTATAGAGACAGTGGACAGGCCAACCCAGCTCACTTGCTGCTTGCCTCTGCAGTTGCCCACTGGCATCTGTTTTGCGGCAGGCAGATGAGGGACCCAAGCTGGAGTGAGTGCTCATGAGACACCTGGGACAGCCTGAGGTGTTTGCGCCTCTTGCGAGTGTTGAAGAAATCTGACAATGTGTAAAGCTAAGCTGTAAACATTTCACAGCGTCTGTTCATAAAAATGATCGTGGGAAATGGTTGTGAAACCGCTTCTTTGAAGCCTTCTCAATCAGACTGGCTCTGTGTTTTGACAAGCCATTCTCTCCAAACAGAAGGGAAGCACCCAACTCAGAAACAAAACAGGCATGTCTAGCCTGTGCGCTGGCTAGAATGCCTGACGCTTTATTTTTCCTTTAC